CCTGAATTTTTCATGATTTTTCTTTCAATCAAAAATTCTTCATTTCAATTTCAATTCTAAATCAATAAATAAATCGTTTAGTGTTGCGATTTGTTTGTTATTAATCTGAAATAAAATCGGTAATTAGTTATTAATATTTATAATTTCATCGGGGGTAATAAAGTGTAAAATCCTTGAAGGGAGATAATTCTTATTATTCCGTTCTCAAATTCACTCTGAGTTATCAATAGGTAAATGGCCTCCTATCATCAAGGTTTCCCTGCGCAACTGAATAGTCATTGGTACCAGAGATAACAGACTCGTGTTCAACAATTTGAGACAATTAATCACTCAAAAATTCTCTTTATTCCAAGATCCCAGTGAAAATAACGCATTTAACAATGAATTTCTCATTCAAAACGACGAAATGAAAATCCAATTGATTTATTCCATTGAGATAATTCACTCCTTCTAAAATTATTATTAATTATTGCGAATTATGCGTAAATACAGGATTTAATTATAATTTCCAGGGAATTTCACAATTATTTATGTTTGGGGAATCAAATGTTAGGTAATTATTTCTGATAAATAATTATTTCTTGAATAAGTAACTCGACAAATTGGTGAGCTCAACTCGGAGGCTCGACTTCTGGTTAAAACGTTTAAATTGACATGTATCAGGGGAATTTACAATGAGGTACAATCGTTATCGATTGTACCAATCTTGTATCAATAACTGGTATGTCAATGGCCCCGTCTATCTAAACATCTGGACGAATGTAGGTTTCAATATTAAAAATTGTAATATCAGTTAAAACATTTATTTTTACAAAATCCACAGCTGTCCAAACCGTCACTGTTATCTCAATTTAGAAAAAAAAATTAAGTTTAATTGAATTGAATTGAATTATTAAGAAGAATTTTCTGTTTCTGCACTTTTTAAAAATCAATTTTATTCTGCGATTCGTGAGATTTATTTATGCCAAAAAAAAAGATCTGATTTAAAAAATTGATGAAACCTTAAACTTAACGTAAACTCCAATAAAATAATTTTAATAATAAACGATCGACGTAAACCCCGGGTAATTTGAATCAAAGTGAAAAAAAAAATGCCAATTTACAATGTGATCTTAAAAATAAATCCCGAAATCGTGGTAATCCCATTAAAATCCAACTAAAGCCCCAAAATGATTTTTATTCACGACGAAATTGAGTGATTGCGGCACGTGGTCCAGTGATTAACTGAACACGTGTTGCAGGTGCTTCTGAGAAAAGAAGTGCTCGATGAAGACTTGAGGCCCATATTTTTATTTCTCGGTACCCCCTCCAGCAATTTCTCAGTTCTCCATCGAGGTACGTCACAGTGACGATGCGAAAAATCAGGGAAAAGCGGTGGGGAAAAAATGAAGGAAAAAGGAAAAAAAAAATGTGACGTAACGAGTATTGTAGAATCGTGTGGAATGAAACGTATGAGTTGAGACAGTGGATGATTGAGGCGCCACGGCGCCAGTCTAGTTTTTCCTGACAACTAGACTGTGATGAAATTAATATAAACATCACAATGTTTTGGATAATCCACCAATACTTATCGCATCCCATGAATTCATGATGTGAGAATTAATACATGAGTGCGAATTAATTGCAGAATGAATCAATCAATTTTTACAAACAATAATTTTCGTCAAATCTGAAATATCTCGAGATTGAGGGCTGCCATCGAAATTTTCATTATCACCTCCTTTTGAGCTCTCAATGAGCTCTACAAAAAAGGTAATCACAAAAATCTTGATATCAGCGTTTAATTCCGAGATATTCAACGAAAACCGGAAGAAATCTCCAGTTTTACCGATTCGCTTACGAGTGCAGTGGGAAAAAATACTATTCTGACTTGAAAAAACGAAAAAAAAAATGGCGTGAACATTGCAGAGCTCTCGTAGATTGACGATGATTGATTCTACATTGTTAAGGCCTTGAGACATTTTATACGAAATAACTGAAGCGTTCGTCCATTATACCACATCCGAGCGGTCCCCTGAACCCCCTGAATAAATTTTCAACCGAAAAAATACACAATTACCCCGTAATTATAAATAAAAGCATCAAACCAACGTGCACCTAGGAATGATCGAAGGACGCTCGTACTCACGAATCGATTGAAAAAACGCATTTCATAAAAAAAAAATGAGGAAAAAAAAATGAATCGATATGCACGTCCTTATCGTCATGGTAACGCGCACCACCTGAGTGAGAATCCAATGGGTGTGGAATTTCTGAACAATGAGGCCATTTATACCGAGAATTAACGATTAAAATAATAAATTGCAGACCGAGAGGAACGGTGCCGCCCAATTGTCGGATAAATAGACAATTTATTGTTACTTTAATTTGACGTAAGTGGCTTCAATGCGGATATAAAAGAACGGGTCTTTGATTTTTTCTAAATTGCTGATAAAATTCGGGTCAATATATTATTCCATCTTTGCAATTTTTGGTTAATAATTATTTTAAAAATAAATGAATTTTTTTCGCGGCGAGTTTTTGGGTTATATCTCGGAATTGAAGAATGTAGTGAATTTTTTGTAGAAACATTTTTTATGGAAGAGAATGAGAGCTACAAAAAAGATGTCTTTGAAAAAATCGTTATCTTTCTTCAATTTCGAGGAATCGGGCAAAAACTGGTCTTGAAAAAAAATATAATTATGATAGGTTGTCACGAATTTTTGTCAGACACCCGAGGTGAGAGAAAATTGTAACGAGTCAATTAGAATACATGAGATGATGTGTTCTCTGATGATTCTCAGCTGTTTGAATGCACCCAAATGCAAATATTGAACGACGACGCGATAGCCCCGGGACGTCAACAAGTGTCTGTGAAGAAAGATCGAAGTTCAGAATTATGCGAATGGTTTCTTTGTATTTTATTGTTCTCCCATTTCAACGCAATACTTTTTCATTTTTCTGAATATTCTTCACGAAATCTTCTGACATTTTCATTACACCACATGCCCTGACTAATTACAACAATTCACTTACGACATAACGTGAGATAAACTCTACTCAACATTTTTATTATTTATGAATTCTACAATAATTTTTAAAATCATCAATTCAATTGGAAAACGTCAAATTTCTCCTCAAAAATTGCCATTACATATATTTTTCAAATCAATTAATTTTTAAAGCAATCGGTATTTAGTGGAAGGGAAAAATTGAATGCAATAAATTTTGAGGTCATGAAGTTGTTTTAAAATTAACTGCGGGTGGTTAATGATTATTATCATGGAAAACTGCGGGTAAATGGTAATGAGTGATTGAATTGTTGTTCTACCTGAGTCAAATAAACAAATTATTTATTTCGATCGTACAATCGCGGGGTATCTCTGTTACTCAATTGATTCTAATGACTCTCGGTGGAATGTAGACGTCAGTACGTCCACGAAACCTGTTGCGACGTATTTGTGAAAATGAGAGAAATCAGGAATCACTGGGGCATTAGTGTGTGTGAATTGTTTTTTTTTTCTCGAATGTTTTGCTCGTGTGTTTTGATGAGTAGGTGAGGATATCGTAGATCACGACGTGTTTCTCTGTTGCCAAACAGAGGGCAGAATCCACCTAACCTCAAAATAGATTCGCCCTCTTTTCTATTTCGCACATCGAATTTCTGTCTTCAATTTTATCTTCTCGTCTCCACATCACATTCACCATTTCCACTTATTCTTCATTTAATTATCGCACACGAAAATGTTTATTCTCCAATGAATCAATTCGAATTCTTTTTTTCCTCCATCAATCCAGAATGTAAAATATTAGTCTACCAATAGAATCAATACGTCTGAATTTCGTTGACTGAATGAAAGTGGAAATTGTAAAATTTAAACTGTCGAATTGCGATGCAATTTTTCTTTCCGGTTTTTGTTTTCAATTAGTGGGATAAAATTTGTGGATTCCTGGAAATTTCGGTGGTGTGGACTAATCATTGACTGAGCACCTGTTGTTGTGGATATTTAGTTGTCAGTTTATTTGGAAAATTGATTGAAATAAAAACAACACATGGAACGAAAGTTGTTTGACTTACCGGCGGTGGCCTTGACGATTTTCTCATGATGCCTTCGGCTTTTCTTCAGGGTTCGACCGCTCTTCAGTAACATCTTGTACTGATTAATAATGGTGTGATTGTTGGTAATTGCCGATTGGGGATGTACGATTACGCATTATTATTTGTCACTGTACGGCAGCCATTTGCCTTTTAGTTACCGGGGGGCACTTGTGAAGGCACACGGTGAACCTCTCAGCCTTTGGCTCGTAGCCATTCTACAGTTTTGTGACGTAGATATATGCAGGGACGTATGTGTACATGTCGAGTAAATTTTTTATGAAAAATTTTCTGCCTGTACTCGTGATTTCACCAGCGAAACTCAACCCTCTCAACCAATTCAACTCTTAACTCAGTTTTCCGGGAATATCTCATGTTTGGAATGAAAATCCGCTATTTTGCTGGGAACATTTTTTACTGAGGACTTCAAGATCTAGATAAATGCTCATTACAAAAATTTCGATATTTCTGATATTCACTGAGTTCTGATCCATTATCAAAATCGTATTCTTCTCCATAAATTTCTGGAATTATTCTCCTGGTGAATGTTAATTAATTATTGGAAATCAATTAGGAATAATAGGATTGCGAATATTTTTTTCTTTTATTAATAATGATAGGGGAATAATAGAATTGAAAAAGTAAATATAACAATTGATTGATTAATAATTGATGGGAGATTGAAAGATTTTACTCCATTCACTTAGAATTTGTGAAATAGATCATTTATTACTCTTAATAAAGCTGTTATAATATATATTGTGCGAATACACCCCTCGACATGGCAGTCCAGCCACGATTTTTCATCCCCCCGTCACCCGATTTTCATCCATTGAGCCCAATTTCCCTTGATAAATTTTCTCAATAAATATTTCGATCAGACAAATAGTGAAAGTCATCACAGAAGCATTAAATGTCAATAGACTACATACGAATTCCTTTATTCCGTAATGCTCTTTTATTAGCGCAATACTTAGGCAATTATCGAGTACAAAACGATTTATTTATTTTTCTTTTATATATTCATTCTTTTTTCGAAGCTTAGTATAAACTGTATAAAGCACTGTTACATTTACCATCCACTTGAAATGCTAATTCATACGTTGACACATTTTTTTTATCCATTTTTCATTGATAACCAGTTGGGACTGTGTCGCACTTAAAATTTTCTCAATTCGTCTCAGTGACGATGAATGTTTAATATTAAATTAATGAAGAGACGTTTTGAGCTGAGGGGTGGTCATCGATGAATTTCAGCAAATTGTCGAAATTAAAAACGAGGAAAATTGATTGAATTATTTTTTTTCCACTTAAAAAGTTCGATTGATTAAAAATCATTCTGACCCTTTCCCTCAATGCCCGAGACATTTTTAATCGCTGCATCCCCCCCTTCCCTCTAGAAATTCAATTATCACCCTCGAATTAATAGAATGCCCAATGGTTTTTCTTTTTAAACATTTTCTGCAGACCACTCAGTCGCACACTCTCTCCGGTTAAAATTCTCCCGCTATCAAAGCCAACATCTCAACATCGGTTACTTGGTATTGTATTTGATATTATGAGAATTAAAATGGAACATAATTAATACAACGTAAGCATAAAATATATCTAAATGTTACATATTTTTTTGTTACCATTTTTCATAGAGTTTGTCATTTTTTTTATGATTTTTCTCGTCTTTTCGCATTAATTCATTTTCCACGGCAATTTTTCAGTACGAAATTAGAGAGACGTAGCACAATGCAATTTCACTTTGAGGCACAAAATCCACGGAGTTGCAAAATAATTGGAAAATACGCGTTAAACCTAATTCTTATTAATTTTTTATTCCCCCTCTCATTGATTATCTCGTGTCTTTCATTTTAATTTTCTCACTCAGTTGTTCAGTAAATTGCCAAAACGACGGTAAATGGCACGAAGCAATTTAATAAAGCTCGCGAAGTTCATATGAATTTTATTCAAACAATGAACCCGCCGAGTCCAATAATTACGACTTTATTCAATAATTTTTTATTCGCCGTTTAATCAAACACGAGTAATATTTTTTTCGCCGGTTAATGAACATCAACGCGTGAACAAAATATTTTCGTTATTTAATGATAAACTTTTAAACTATTATCGCTCTTGTTCTTTAACTCTACGATATCTCGTTTTGGCTGCGATTAATGATGGGATAATGGCAATCGTGTTAGATTGTTGGGTTTAATTAAGCAAGTGGCTGGAATAATTGCTTAACCAGAGCTGGCAGTTTCATTTTCGACTGGTAAGGCACTGTCATCTGTCTTGGTCGAATCCTGGCCAGCCAGGGCTGCTTTGTTCTGTCTGACCATCTCAGCACGCCTCTCCTGCAAATTAATATCAAAAATAAATCCCCCAAAACTCCAAATAGCCCTCACAAATAGCAACAAAAACCATTAAAATCAATATTAAAAAATTATAAACTAAAAAAAATTAACTAGAAAAACCAAAACTATGGATTAATCATCTGGATCGAGTCAGCAACTGAAAAAAGCACCAAAAAAAAAATTACAAATGTGTGCAGAAGCCATTTTTAAGACTGTGCCTAAAATAAAAATAAAAAATGAAGAAGCATTGATTTCAATCGAGGATTACATGTTGACGAATGGCCTGAAGACGACGTTGAATCTCTCGCCGACGATTTTCTTCGGCGATGGAGACCTTCAGGTCAATCTCTCGTTTCTTGGCCTCGAGCTCTCGCATTGCACTGACATCAGCTGTCTCTCGTACTTTAGCTAGCTTCACTGTGTTCTATGCACATCCACCAGTCCATTAATTACCCCCATTCAACTGATCAAATAGATACGACAGAATCATGGGGACTTACATGATTACGGAGTTTCTCCTTCTGTTCGCGCTCTATTGTCTCCCTGCGCTCTCGTGCTTGATCTAGCTTTCCCTGAATCTGGGACTCCAGTTGCTGAACACGTTCAGTCATCCCTTGACGAACCCTGGCAACTTGCTCCTCCTGTTGAGTACAAAAATTAAAATTAAATCCTCAAGAATTCGATTCAATTTTCCTCCATTTATTGGGACTCAATGGAGAGGTCAATGGCTCATACTGACGTGTTCCTTCAGACGCTCCAGCATGTGTTTCATGTTCTCATCCCTCTGTGCAGCAGCAGTCTTGAGTTTCTCCTCAACAGCAGCACGAACCTCATTCGTCTGTTGCTCCAGATTCAAACGTGTCTTCTCAACAGCCTCCAGCTGAAAAATCAAATATAAATATCATTAATAAATGCTCACGGGTGTTTAATTACTCTGGAAAACGAGTGAATGAAAAAAAATATCTCTCTCACGTGCTCCTTCAGTTTGTTCTTCAACTCGGCAATATGAGCCTCACGTTTCTCCTCGGAGTTATTCATCTTAGCATCGAGTGAGTCTCGAGTTGCTGCTATGAATGCTGAGTTGAGTTCATCCCTCTTGCGGGATGTCTCCTCGATTCTGCTCATCTTGGCAGCGATTGACGCAAGTTTATGGGCCTCTAATGAGAGTCTTCTCTCTTCAGCTGCTTTGAGTTTATCCTCGATGGCAGTCTGCTGGGCAGGAACTGTCTGGGGTGGTGATGGGGCACGTTTCGATCCCGTTGGCTCTGCCAAAATCACCTCGTAGCACAGGCCACCCTTGGACTTCTCTTGACATCGAATCTCAGTAGCTAAATACAAAAAATCATTAATCAATCCCTGACCATCGCCCACTCATCCGCATTGACCCAATTAAATTCCTGAATCAATTGTCACGAGTCAATTTATCCAATGGGTCTAATATCTCCGAATCTAAGAGAGACAGCAAAATTTTCGTAAGCATCTTTTTTGTGGGTCTCATCAAAATCTACAAAAAAGGTTCCAATAAAAATTTCGATAGCCGTGATGGATTCGGAGATATCACTGGATTCGTATTTAATGTGATGTTTGATGTGAAATCGTTGAATCATCTCCGAAAATTTGCAGAAACATCTCAATCTCCATCAGATTGCAGTGAAACAAGTCATTGTGACCCCTATTTTAGCAAAGAGGGTGGAGGGTGAGGAATATGAGTCAGCCAGGAAGATCGATCTGGCGACGGAACGATTGTCTCTAGGCGCCGGTACGTCTACAGCTGGGGTACACGCACCACCAGCCAGACCATCGACGCCAACTATTTCCCTGTCTCCGTACAACCCTCTGAGAATTCATACCACTGTCCCTCTCGTTATTCCTCACCCTCTCCCCTCTTCACCAACAGCATTATGTATAATTTAACTGGGGGGTCATGCACCTCACTGCCAAGTGATGACGTGCAGGAGTATCGTTGATTCAATTAGCTGATAGTTTGTATTTTAGGGGGGACTAAGTGCAAAGTTCAACTTTACACTTTAAATCTAGATACTCATTCAAATTATCCAGGAGATACATCTCTTTCATCACTCGAATAGAACTGCAGAGTATTTTCCACCCCAGAGAATTAATTAGTGAAGTGCAAGTAAAGTACGAGTTGCAATTTATTTTTAATCATCCGTTTATCTCGAGAACTATCGATCTCACGTGAAAATGGTAGAGAACTTTTTTGTGGCTCATCAAAATTACGACGAATGAGGTCATTTCATGTTTTTTGATAAAATCAATAGTTCTTTGAGTATTGCTGTTTTTTGGAGTCAATACTCACTTATGAATTTCACTTTCTTCGGTTGTTTCGTTCGTGGTTTTCCCTTGCCACTGGGTTTCTTCATAGGTACATTACCCCTCCTTTGTCCAGCTTATATCGATGGGAATAAAAAAGATAGCGACATGAGTGGATAAGTCAACATTGCGAAAATAAAGCCCCTGATCGATTAAACCCCTGGATTTTCCAACCGTCGAGTTACCGGTGTGGCCATCTTGGGCCGCACCCTGATCCCCTCGAAATACACCGGTTATCAAACACGTGGACATGAAAATTCATTGTCAACTACCTTTATCAATTGATAATATACGAGCAATTACCGCGCAATTAATTATTCCAGCCGGGAATTTATCGTCGGGCCATCGGGGGGTGAATTCCTTCACGAGATATTGCAGAGAGATTTCTACGCAAATTTATGCAATGCGGAAGAATTAATTCCTACAGCAATTACCGAATAATTTGCCTTCATCTATTTTTCATTCCCGGAAAACCATTTTTTTTTTGTAGTTTTTAAAACTCAATTTCTCAATTGAAAAAATGAATTGGGGAAATTGACCGACAAGTTTTTCAACTTTTTCGTTTCATTTTTTTTT